CCCCCCCAGCCGCTGCCCCCTCCCGCAGGCACCGCCGCAGTTCCCGGCCTCTCCTGCTGGAAGCGATGCTGCTCTCAACGGTTCCTCTGCTCCTGGCCACCCCTCGGCCCTGCCGGCAACACCTCCTACCTCCTCAAGTTCTGGTGAGTCAGGGACCACATCCTGGGCACCCCATGGATGCGTCCTGAGCAGGACACACGGGGACAGTGAGCACCCCCATCCACACCCCATCTGCCTCCCTGCAGCTACGCAACACCCCAGCTGTGCCACCAGTTCAAGGTGGGCCCCAGGACCACTTACACCTTCAAGCATCACCACGTCTACCTCCTCACCAACACCACAGCCTGGGTGGAAGGACACTGGGGGGACCACAGCAGCAGGACCCCCAACCTCACCCTCTACCTGGATGAGGCCGGTAAGCACCGGTGGGGCTGGGATGAGCACCAGCACTGGGGACAATAACCACGAGACCACCTCGCCTTTCCAGTCAGGCTGGATCCACCCCACACCGAGATGCCCTTCAACAAGACCAGTGGCGGGTTGTGGCTACAGGTCCCACAGCCACTGTGCCACTGTGGGGTGCAGCTGCCCCAGCGGGAGGCTCGGTTCCGGAGGAGGGGTGACAGGGACTGGACACAGGTAAAAACACCGCCTGCCAGAGCCGGTGGGGACCCCGGGGACAGTCGGTAGCATCGTGGCAGCCCAGGGGCTCGGTGACACCACTGTCCCCACCCCTCAAACCCAAGCCTGTCCCATCTGTTTCGCCGGGTTAGTGGCTCTGCCCTGTCCTCCCGGCCACCGGGTCCTGCCTGTAACAGGATCAGGCCGCGATTCCCGGGGATTACGGAGGCAAATCCCTGGATTAGAGGAACGATGACGATGGATGAAATCCGGGCACTGGGCACAGTGAATCCCCCCCCCAGCTGGGAACACCCCACCCCTCTCACCTGCTGCCAGGAGGGTCCCAGGGCTGAAGCCATGCTGTCCTAGTCCCAGATCCTCCTGGACACCATGTCCCCTGCACCCTGTTTGGCTCTGCCAGCCACTGTTCAGAGGACATAGGGCAGTACCTGCCTCCATGTCCCAGTAACACACTGGTTTTACTGGGTGGGTGCCTCTATCACCAGTTCTCTCCACAGGTGTTGTGTGAGGCAGCAGATGAAGATGACTCAGGTGGGTTTAGCCCACAGGGGTGCAGGGGATGAGCATCTCCTGGAGGTGCTGCTGGGGGGGCTGGGGTGGGGGCTCTGTCCCATGCTCAGCCCTGCCCTGCCAAAGGCCAAAAGCTGGGGAAATGGGGGGGGTTTACCCCCCTTCTTACCTTGCCACCCTGCTCTAGTGACCTGTCCCCTGGAGGGGGCTGGCACCTTTGAAGTCCAGCTCCGGCACAAGCTCCCCCACTGGAGCAGCTACTGGAGTGACTGGAGCAGCTCCATCTTCGTTTCTGAGGGTAAGATGAGAAGAAAACGGGTGGGATCCCAGCGGCTCCCAAAAAACCCCCAAGAGCCCAAATGGGCTCATTCCTCTTGCAGAAATCCTCTCGAGGCCGGAGCTGAGCTACCAGTTGGGAAAACTGAGAAGAGATGGGCAGCGGGTGCTGAGGCTGGGCTGGCAGGTAGGGCAGCATCCCTGGTAACCCCCCCAGGCGTCCCCCAGCAACATCACCCCTCAAGTCACCCCTCTCCCTTCCGCAGAGAGTCCCCGAGGACCAAGGGAATGTCACTTACACGCTGCAGAGCCGCATGCTGGCGTGTGGCTGTGCTGAGGAGGACACTGTAGAGCTGGGGACAGAGGTGACAGAGCACAACCTCACCCTCTCTGGCGCCGAGTACCAAATCCTGCTGGCAGCAGCCAACGCCGCCGGGCCGGGGCCGGAGCAGCAGCTCCTGGTGCCAGCAGATCAACGGGCAGGTACAGGCTCCATCAAAGGACCCAGCTTCCCAGCAGCCTCCAGGGAGTTCTTCTCCCAGCCACCCCTCACCCCTCCTGTCTCATCCCAGATCTTGGCTTCAAGGCCATCCAGGTGGCCGGCAGCACCGTGACGGCGCAGTGGGAAGCACCAAGCCCTGGCTCTGGGTACTGCTTCGAGCAGCAGCCTCTGCCTGGAGCCCCAAAGGAGGGTGTTTGCAGCCAACGGGACTTCACTGCCAAGAGCGTCCACATGGAGAGAGGCAAGGGAGCAACCTGAGCCCCCTGCCCATCCCTGGATCCTGGCAGGGATTTAACCAGCATTCCCACCCCAGGAACACTGGACACGCCGGCGTGTTACCGCCTCGCCGTGCACGGCTGGCACCCGCCCCCAAAAAAGCTCTGGATCGTGCTTCGAGCAGCAGCCTCTGCCTGGAGCCCCAAAGGAGGGTGTTTGCAGCCAACGGGACTTCACTGCCAAGAGCGTCCACGTGGAGAGAGGCAAGGGAGCAACCTGAGCCCCCTGCCCATCCCTGGATCCTGGCAGGGATTTAACCAGCATTCCCACCCCAGGAACACTGGACACGCCGGCGTGTTACCGCCTCGCCGTGCACGGCTGGAACCCGACCCGGGGCTGGGCCACCCTGGCTGTCACACACCACTATGTTGGCAACGGTACGTACAGACCCACTGAGCACCCGTACCTGGTTTAACCACAAAAACAAAAGGGGGTTCCCAAAACACCACCCCCCCCCATCTTCTCTGCACTCCCCATCCCGCGCAGCCTCGCTGGCCGTGCCCGTCCACATCAACGGCAGCGCTGGAGATGCCACCGTGGGCCTCTGGTGGAGCCCATCCCCACGTGCCACCTGTCCTGGGGCAATGGTCAAGTACCTCATCTGCCACGCAGCCAAGGGGGACAATGTGACATGTGAGTGGGTCCCCTCCATCCCAGTGGGGCAGGAGGAGGAGGGCAGGAGGAGGAGGGCAGGAGGGGGGGGGCAGGAGGAGGGGGGCGGGG